GATTTCATTTTTTTGTCATTGTTATGTCGTCTTCCAAAAATTTCTGAATTCCTTGGTCTTGCAAGTTCTGCCATACAAATAGAAACAGAACATGTCTGCATTGCAGCTTTTAAGAGGACTCATTTAGGACCTATCCTTCTGTTGAACACGTATAATTCAGATCGCTATTTTATTTAGAGAATTCAAGCGTCGACTATTAGCTACAATTAAATAAAGGTGCTGGATATGCTCCACGTGATAACAGGGACGTAGTAGCAATAGTGCACGGAAAAGGTTCCATAACTGCCCAGCCAAGGCACATGAGTGTCGCAAGCTACTTTCGTTCACAATGTTTTACCGATGCATGGGTCTCGTACTAGGTAGGAGAAAGCACTGATTCACCGGTGTATATCATGGTGTTATACAACACTGTCGTCTTTCAGATTTCATGGTCATGCCCGATCCTATCGTTCTCTCTCACTTTGTCCGTTCTATGGTCTCCCCGTTTGTTCTTTCCTCACCATTCCCCAACACCCTCCACCACTTTTCGTATAGAGATCGGAGTCAGATCAACTGTATGTTTCGTTCTCTTGGTCTCGTTCACTCTCTCTACGTCTCACCTTTATTCTGTCTCTCTCGCCCCCATTATGCATCACCAGTATTTTGTTTCATGTCCAAGGAAAGAGTATTGAATCTCTTATTCAAAGTTCCTAGGTGCCCAATAAGCACATAACATACTCGTGCAATCATAATAAGTCGAAAGAGAGAGCAAAGAGTTTTAGAATATTCAGAAAAGATGCGCCGGAGTCGTTCCTCGAAAGATCCAAGTGGTGGGTAAGGAAATTTTTGCTGGACGAATATTTCGACGCGGTAAAACGTACAACCCACTGAGCCTTGAGTTTGTTCGAAGGAAGTAAAATTCAACGGTACTGTCCAGTTTTGCCTTCGGATGGAGACGAATTGGCGGCGGAGCTATTTTTTCAAAACGTGAGGAAAGGAATGTGTTGAATAATTCCCGTCCAGTCTCACTGCAAACTATTCTTGAGATTATTCGGCATTTTTAGAAGCACTTCCAGACAGAGTCAAATGACGAATATATTTATTGGCCTCGGTTTGACTGATATTAATACCTCGTTTCCAACAAATTTATCGGTGTGTTTTATTAATATCGCTTTACACATTGGATATTAGGACAGAATGAATGTGAAGCTTCAGTTCGATTGACTTTCTAATCTCGATTTGTCATCTCTCTCTCGCTCGCTCCCTATCTCCCCTGCCCTTTCAGCTTCTCTCCTCCTTGTATAACCTGACTAGATAACAACTTCAGTTCATTCCATCGACATTTATTCGTCAACGCTGTCCCTTTCCTGCTTTCGTACTCTATCTTCCCCTCTCTGTCCGACTGCCTGCCTATGTAGGTTTCTAATCTCCAGTTCTCTCTCGCACTCGTTTTTTCCGGTCTTCTCTCCAATTAAAGATCATTCAATTTCAACTTATGGACTCCACATATCCGACTTCCTTTCGTAACTGTAAGAACATTTTAGGATATTTTAGGAAAACTCTATTAGATGCGTAATTGACTGCGAAACCATGTCTTTCACTCCAAGGATTATAATATGTATGAGCTGCTCCCAAGTCAAGAGCCACCATCATTCTGAAGGTCAAACCTATTAATCTCCCTTGTTATCCTCGTAAATATACTGTTGATAAAATATGTATAAGGTCTACCGTTATCTGCTCGTGACATTTTTTAATGGAAAGAGTAGTATCGGGTTTGTCTGTGTGCGGCCTTTTTCCTCCCTTTCTTGTGTCCCTGTTGATAAAACCAATAATGAATAAATGACAGTAAGATGAGTTCTTACACAGATTCAGATCTCTCGCCTTCCTTTCTTCTGCTGTTGATGTGATCTGGATATTCATCAATATATAGTCTTGAGTACATATGCTTTATCTTTTCAAAGCTTAAGGAAAACCAAAGTGCCAAAGGCTTCCTCGCTGCCCTTCTCGAGGAGCCACTGATACAAAATGGAACGAATATTTTTTTAATCTAAACCTGCACATAATTTCTAGTGAGATTTACCATCGATTCTCACACGGCTTCCCATCCGTCGCAATTAAAAGCTGCGAAGTAATTTATAAGTCGTACGTGCGCTATTTACCCTTCTCCCATATCACAAGCCATATGGCCCGAAAGACGTAAATAGTCCTCCTCAAGTCATAAATGCGTAGCGAATATGGGTTCCTTCTGTCGACGAGAATAGTTCGCAGTACTCAAAAGTTTACTTGGCATATTTAAGACAACAAGATTGTTAAGGGGTGAAAAACATCTGAATTAGCAGTAGATTAACGTTGTAACCCTTTTCTTCCTACTTACACAGCTTGCCCTGTTCACTTATGAATTTTCTCATTTTTCTAAAACTGATTAATCTAGCGGAGGCCATAAACAAGACAAGTGAGGAGAACGTTTGTTACTGACTGTCGGCTCCGGAGCTCGACCCCCACCGGAACAACCAACCAGGTATGGCGGAAGCTACCGAGCATAATATGGGTGCATCACTGCGGCCTTGTCTCGGTTGCCCGGTAGTGTACACGGATTCCACCTTTCGTGTAGCACCAGGGGTAGTGGCAATGTGCTTCCATATTTGGCCTCACTCGTTAAGTGTTCAAACGCCGTACAGCTGATAGGATCACAGGATCTAATGAAGAATCTTCCACTCATGAAAGTCAACTCAAGTCAACGGATGATGGCCAATCGGAGACTCAACCTTTGAGGTCAACCCTTCCAAGAAGAAGTGTCAGAATCAGGGTTCTTCCACCTCGAAGAGTTCATCTCCAAGTCAACCGACACTTTCCTCCTCTATTGGATCCAGGACTAATGGGTCCTTACCAGCAAGCAAGAGGGTTCATCTACAAAGGATGGCCCAACAAGAAGAAGAAGAAGAATGGGGAGAGGATGCCATGTCATCCTCACGTCCCCCTCTCCTTAAAAGGGGGGTCGTTGCCACCTAGAAGCGCCACATAGTATCTCTTGGGAAAGGGTGTCTCCATCACCCCCTTCTTTCTTGTTCTCTCTCCATTCCGTGAAAAACCATCGCTCTTCTTTTTCCCTCTATAAATGCACAGACTATTTTGTGTTTCAGATAGTGATTGACAGAATTAATCAGGCTTATCTTGCCCCTTGGACTGGGGGTCCCTCCCCTCCCTTCATTGCCTCTTGGACTAGGGGCTGAGGGTGACCTCCTTCTCTTCCTCTTTACGTTGTCCTCGCCACCCCGTCATCGTTGTACCGCCTCTTGTCGTCCGCTTCATCACTGCCACTCCTCTTCATGCCAGCCACCCTGTCGCCGTCGTCCTGCCTCCTCGCCGTCCGCCCTATTGCCGTCGTCCCGCCTCCTCGCCGTCCGCCCCATCGCCGTCGTCCGCCTCCTCGCCGTCTGCTCCATCGCCGTCGTCCTGCCTCCTTGCCGTCCGCCTGTCGCCGCCACTCCGGCTCCTGGCTGTCCATCCCGTTGCGGCCACTTCATCTCTCTCTCCCGCCGAAACTCTCGTTCTTCTCTCTCCGCCGTCGCCACGTCTCCCCGTCCTTCTCTCTCTCTCTCCAGCCGAAACCCTCTTTCTTCTCTCTGCCGTCGTCACCACGTACCCCCTCATTTTCTCTCTCCCTCTTCCTCTCCCGCCGTCGCCACGTACCCCCATCTTCTCTCTCTCCCTTTTGACCCGCCGTCGCCACGGACCCCCTCATCTTCTCTCTCTCCCTCTCACCCCACCGTCGCCACGTACCCCCTAATTCCTTTCTCTCTCTCTCTCTGTCCCGCCGACGCCCTCTCATTCCGCCCCTTTTTCTCTCCCCTCCCTTTTATTTATTCTGATTATTATTTTATTCTCTTATTCTTTCTATTTCTCATTTAAACCTTTTTTCCTCCCTTATGTTTTTTTTAATTATTCAAATACTTTGTAGACGTCAGCTACTCAACTTAGACCTACCATTTTCTTGAATCATTACCTATTAGAAATTCATCAACAAGGCTCATGGATCTCAAGTCACTAGAATCAAGAAAATCATTTCAAAATCTCTTTTGATTATGCATCATTGATTTCAATTCCCTTTCTGAAATGATCATTATTTTTACATCTTTGCTCCTTATAGGAATTGAGTGAACCATAGTCTAGCCCTCTTTATATCTTTCATCAGTGATCTTAACACCTTGATTGAAATTTTATCTGAATCCTTGAAAGTATAATTTTACTCAAGTAATTATGATTCTAATTCTTCTAAAATCAGTGAGATTAACCTACTCAGAAGCTTCCTTAATTTAGCCAAGGGTAATCTTACATCTCAACCTTCTATTCAGTATTGATATTTCTCTTTGGTCCCACATCAACAACTCATCTTTGCTGTGGACAAAGATGGAGGGGATAGAAACACTAGGGTTTGTGGGATTCATCAATCTCTTCTAAGCATACGTACCATTACTTATGGATTATGAGCGACTCTAATCTATAGCATCTTGGAGGAGCGCCTGCGGCAAAGGAAATCTCAAAGAACTAATGGCAAGTGGACAAGTGCCAAAAACCTGTATCATAGCTTCAATGAGATCACTCTTTGACTCATTGAGACTACTACTAGCTTTCAAAAGTTGCATTAGAAAAGTGGCTGACGTAAATTCTTCTTGTTCACTGAATTCAGTTGGTTGATGTAGTAATGTTCATATATACTAATAGGGAACTTTCATGATTTATCACACTTGAAATTAAGAATCCCTTTCATGATCCATGTCAAAAAGGTAGGCATTTAATTTATGACGTGAGAATGGTTTGCTCCTTGATTTAAATGATTTATCATTTTGATTCACAATGAAGGAATAGAAAATTTGAGTAATGTATGTTAAGGAGTTAGCGAGGAAATCCTATTACTGTTTCCATAAGAACAGACTTATGATTAATACTGCCAAGAGCAGCCTATTTGATGGAGATAATGGAGGAATCCCGAACTTGTTTTGGCTGCCTTCGTAAGTATATTACTAAACTAGTAGAAGGAAGATAGATTTTAGCAGAAAAATAGTACTACATTTACTTTCCAGTGACTTTTTTGTGGGCCAATAAACAAGAATATCCCACTGGGTGACGTTATAATGAAACATAGACACCCTGATGATTTGACGTCTTTGTGAAATCTTGAAGTTTTGTGGCACACTCTTTTCCCTTCCACTGGTCTAGAATTTGATTAATTCGACCAATATTTTACGAGAGTAGTTTTTCTCAATGATGCTTGTTAGAATTAATCTCCATATTAGAGAATTGGACAGCGATGCATATCTAATCAAACAATCACTAGTCAATTGTTTTAGATTCTCATTTGTGACATTGATCTCATCTTATTTAACTTTTTGTATCATTCCTTTCAAATACATTAGGGGATTGATGCTATCTCGTCATTGATCTTCAAATCTTTGAATACATGCCATGAGAATTCGTGCCTAAAGTTTTGGCATATGTTTTGAGAATAAATTTATGAATAAAAAAAAATTCTAGTGATATTTAAAATAATCTCACTGCTGCTACTAATGTTACTAGAATATTTCCAGGCAATTTTCTTGATTTCATGTGAGGAATGAGCTTAAGATTGTTTTCTCAAAAAACTGATCATTTATTTGTAGTAAAATTATTTCAAGTGAGGATGGGGGTGTAAGAGCTAACACATACAAGATTGAACGAGCAACTCTAATCAATATCTTCTAAGCATATGTACCATTACTTATGGATCATGAGCGACTCTAATCTATAGCATCTTGGAGGAGCGCCTGTGGCAAAGAAAATCTCAAAGAACTAATGGCAAGTGGACAAGCGCCAAAAACCTGTGTCATAGCTTCAATGAGATCACTCTTTGACTCGTTGAGACTACTACTAGCTTTTGAAAGTTGCATTAGAAAAGTGGCTAACGTAAATTCTTCTTGTTCACTGAATTCAGTTGGTTGATGTAGTAATGTTCATATATAGAATTTTATATCCTATTATATTAATTGGTTTTTAAGATATTGATATTTCAGCTATTATTGGTCATTTTTTCGTTCTGGATCTCACAACTGTAAGTCCATGAACTCATAAAATGTTTTGGATTTATTTTTTAAAATGATGCTCTTTAGGAGGTAGTTATTGTACCAACCTTAAGGAAAAGGTGTACAGATTGATAGTTTCATATAGGTTGAAACAATCTCTTGTTAAATGGTTTGATAGAGTGAGACATCTTGGGGTTAAGGTTTCTTTAATCAAAATAGGTATACCTACACAGTAAATATTGGCACCTCGTCTATGCATGCCCATCTATGTACTAACCTCCATTAAGGTAGCAGCTCCTCGCATTTGTCAACACTATAATTTTATGAAGTGTGTTATAGAATGTTGACAAATAAACCAACCCAAGAAAATAGAGTTCTGATGTCGCGACGACGATGCGTCGACGATGCACCAGAATCTTGAGCGTTTGGGATGATTGTCATGTAGTGTCCACAGCCTCGAAGGCTCTTCTTGGACAAAGATGACGTAGGCAATCTCTAGATCTTCTCGTGAAGTCTAGAGATTAAGGAAATAGGTCGTTGAGTCATCTCTAGTGGCTGTCACCTGGCAGAGTAGAAAAATGGCAACTTTGCGGCTCTCTGACGGCTGTCACCCGACGAAGAAGAGTTGGATGGAGGTGGGGCGCATGTCAGGGATCTTCATCTTCAGGTCTGCACAGCAAGAGGAGGCTCTTCATCGCATCTGGTATGCTCTCAGGAGGTGGTGACTCGTCTCCCGGTGGATCGTCCTCTTCCCAACGACGACTTGTTTGTCGATTAATCGGAGATGATTTACTTGATGGATTTGTGATCCTTTTATCACGAATTGTTCAACAATTTTAGTAGCAATGCTCTGCGAATCGCATTGATGAGATTTTCACCGATGATCTAGCAATTCTGTTTGCTTAATCCTTCACCGGTGATCTGCAGGAAAGTCACGATAATTAGATAAAAATATATGACTTTTGACTCTAGAAGGACTCGAACCCGCGCCAGTCACCCACCTCTTCTGAGGAAGGTGTGACGCGGGTTTAGTCCCACATTAGTTGTACGCTGATTTTTCGAGTGAATATATAGTAAAGTTAGCTTTCTAAGCAAAGTCCCTTCTCTCACGTGTACGACCACTCCTTGCCTCACAGTTGACTGGCCACTAGTGACGTGGAAGGGGAGTGGCGCACACGTGCCCCTATCGGTCCAAGCTAAGCCGCTCGAGCCCCTGCTCGTGGCTACTCCCCGACTACGCTTCCGACCCACTTGCAGGCCCAGATGGCCGACGGGTCCTCTCATTTTGCAGTATTCTTATTTTTATTTCTTGTTCTTCATTTATCTCAAAAGTAAGATTGTAAAAATCATATAAAATCACATAATTATCCAAAAATTTACGTTAATCATTTGAAAACCACTTTTTACACTTTAACACAAATTTAAGTCTATTTATCATGAGTTAAGACTAAAAATATAATATGTAATAATTATTAACTTATGATAATGAAAACTTATCGCACCCCCCAACTTAAATCATTGCTAGTCCCTTAGCAATAGAATTACGAAAATAAAAATTTACAAATCTTAAACATCATATTTCAATACAAAACAAAAATACAATTAGAAATGATGCACCTTTAAACACTTTGGATTCTTATATCAAGTACTTAAGAATGATATCAAGCACTTAAATGTTTAAACGCTCCTGGGAATAACAATCTAGACTTCACTATTTCTATTTACATCTTTATCACTTCTTCACTCATAGATGTATTTACAAGATGTTCTAATTATCAATACTCATCCAAGAATAATATTGATCCTACATTTTCCTTTTTCTATGGCTTGATTTTTGAAGTTTGCACTATATTTTTTCTTTTTTTTTAATATATATAGTGGATAAGTAGCTTTTCCTGTAGATAAATTTTGACAATAAAAATGATGTCTCACACCCTCCATGTGTACTCTTCATTTTTAGGACTTTCACTTTATCCACTTATTTTGCAGCAAATGTTTTTCTATACATGATTTTCGACAATGAGAATAATGTCTCACACCCTCCATGTGTACTCTTCGTTTCTAGATTTTTCACATTGCTCTCTCTTCTTTTTTTTCAGAATAAGTGATTTCTCATCACGAGTCCTATAGATCAGGGTGCAAAAATCTCCATTAAACTCAAATGATCAATCAAATTTTCACATCAAGTAAATACTATCCATCAAGATCATGAAGTGAAAATCTATAAAATCAAATCCATGTTATCTATCATGTATCCAAGGAGTATTCTAACATTTCATGCTACTAGATCATTCTTTTGACTCAATAATAATCTTCCTAGTATCTTTTAGTATCAATCAATCTAATTGATTTAATTTTTCATGCATGCAATATGATGTAAGAATTTGTTAATTAGATAGTTTTGACATTTCTATTTTTTTTAAAGTTCTATTTTTAGCAGCAATAAATTTGTCAAAAATAAATCAAAACTATCCTCTTTATAGTTGTAATTTTGAATTTCAGTAATATATATCTAAGGAATTGAAATGTGAGAAAAGGGTCTCTAGAATTTCAAATTTCGGGCTGTTTTTTTGTCTATTGTTTTTGACAGCCTATTGTTCGTGATAGAAAACTAGAAAATAGATGTTGTAGTTTTCCTGATTTTTTATTTTTTTTATTTTTTTAGTTGCTATTCTAAGTTGAATAAAATTTAAACACATGTTCTTAATCATCCTACTGTATAAATTAATAATGAATACTTCACCCCTCAACTTAAAAATGACATTGTCCTCAATGACATAGAAAAATCGAAATAGAATATGCTGAAAGTTCAATTTTCACGTGAAGCATGTATATATGCAAAGTTAAGCATTAAAAATGTTGTCATAAATGATAAAGCTCCGAAAGACATCACCTCAACCTCATTTTTAATTTTCCACTTTGTCTTACCCTCCTCCTCCTGCACTTTTTCGAAAAAACAAATATAGAAACAAGTACCACAAAATTCTAAGAAAAACAGAGATAAAAAAAATCAAACAAAATGAAATAAAAACCATGGGTTGCCTCCCATGCAGCGCTGAATTTAATGTCTCCAGCTGGACTTCTTGATCTTACTCTTGAATTTCTTTTAATAATAAAATTTCTTTTTCTGCAAGGCGTTCATGTTATATATAATGTTTAAGCCGTTGTCCATTTACCTTAAAGTTATGATCACTTTTAGGATCTTTAATCATTACAGCCCCATGATCACATGTCTCTTCCACCACATAAGGCCCTTTCTATTTTGATTTTAATTTTCTTAGGAATAATTTCAGCTTAGAATCATATACCACACTTTTTGTCAAACATCAAATTTTTTTCTGCTAATATATTTATCATGAAAAGTTTTAGTTTTTTCTTTATATATTCTATGATTTTCATAAGCTTCATTTCTCAACTCCTCTAGTTCATGCAGTTGAAAAATTCTATGCCCACCAGCTGATTTTTCATCCATACATAAATTTTTTATAGCCCATAATGTTTTATGCTCCATTTCCACAAGAAGATGACATGGCTTTCTAAAAATGAGACAAAATGGGGACATACCTATGGGATTTTTATAAGCTATTCTATAAGCCTATAATACATCTTGTAATTTCGTGGGCCAATCTTTCCTATCTAGTCTAACTATTTTTCTCAAAATTCTCTGAATTTCCCTATTTCCTACTTTAGCTTGCCCATTTGTTTGGGGATGATATGGAGTGGCTACTCTATGGTGTACTCCATTCTTTTTCAACAATTCTTTGAAATGTTTATTTGTAAAATGTGTTCCTCCATCAACAATAATCACTCTAGGACATCCAAATCTCAAAAAAATATTTTCTTACACAAATTTCATCACAATTTTTTAATCATTAGTTCTAGTAGGAATAGCTTCCACCCACTTCTACACATGATCAACAACAAGCAAAATATATTCATATTTTTCAGCTAATGGGAAGGGACCCATGAAATCTATTCACCATATATCAAAAATTTCGACTACTAACATGTTACTCATGGGCATTTCATCTTTTTTACTCATGTTACCTATAGATTAGCATGAAATACATGTTCTACTAAATTCTATAGAATCTCTAATGATTGTAGGCCAATAAAAACCACACTGAAAAAATTTTGTAGCTATTTTTCATCTAGAGAAATGTCCTCCACAATTAGATGAATGGCATATGTTAATAATGCTATGGTATTCTTCTTCATGAACACATCTTTTTAAAATATGATCATTGCCCAAGTAATATAAATAAGGATTATGCCAAAAATAATTTCTAATCTTAGAAAAGAAATGATGTTTTCTATTCTTATCCCATTGTTCTGGAGTTTTTCTAGAAACTAGAAAATTAACAATATGTTCATACCATGGTGACGGTTGATGTTGAGCTGCCATCAATTGTTCATCTCGAAATGCATCTTGTAAAGGTGCTGCATTTATTCCTGTATTACTTAATCTAGAAAGATGGTTAGCAATAGCATTCTCGAAACCTTTTTTACCTTTTATTTCTAAGTCAAATTTCTACAACAATAAAATCCATCTTAATAAACGTGACTTTACATCTTTCTTATTTAACAAATATTTTAATGCTACATGATCAGTATAAATAATAATTTTAGCTCCTAAAATATATGATCTAAACCTTTCTAACGAAAATACTACAGCTAACAAGTCTTTTTCAGTCGTGGTATAATTTAATTGAGCATCGAATATAGTTTTACTAGCATATGAAATTACTATGGGTTTTGACTCTTTTATTTGTCCTAGAACTGCCCCCACTACATAATTCGATGCATCACACATTATTTCAAAGGGAAGGGACCAATCAAGAGCTTGTAAAATAGGTGCCTTAGTAAGTAATCTTTATATTTTGGAAAAAGACTCAAAATATTTCTCATCAAAATTAAAAGCCACATCTTTAGATAATAGCATGGTGAGAGGTTTAGAAATTTTTGAAAAATCTTGAATAAATTTTCTATAATAACCTACATGACCCAAGAAAGATCTAATCTGTTTTATTTAATTTGGAGGTTTTATTTTAGATATAATATCAATTTTTGCTCTATCCACCTCTAAACCCCTTTCATTTACAATATGACCCAACACAACTCCCTGTTTAACCATAAAATGTGATTTCTTCCAACTCAAAACTAATTTTTTCTCTGTGCATTTCTCAAGTATATGCTCTAAATGATTTAAGCATTCATCAAATGATTCACCAAAAACAGAAAAATCGTCCATAAAAATTTCCATACATTTTCTAATCATATAAAAAAAAAAAGACAGCATACATCTTTGAAATGTGGCTAGAGCATTACATAGATCAAAAGGCATGCGTTTAAAAGCAAAAGTACCAAATGGACAAGTGAAAGTTGTTTTTTCTTGATCTAAAGGGTTTATATAAATTTGATTGTAACTAGAGTATCTATCCAGAAAACAAAAAAAGTTTTTTCTAGCTAATTTTTCTAGAATTTGATCAGTAAATGGTAGGGGAAAATGATTTTTTCTAGTAACTGAATTTAATTTTCTATAATCAATGCAAACCCTCCAACCGATAGTTAATCTTGTTTGTATTTCATCTCCATTTTCATTTTTTATAACCGTGATCCCTGATTTTTTTTGGCACCACTTGTGTAGGACTAACTCATTTGCTATCTGAAATAAGATAAATAATATCAACAGCCAGCCACTTTAATTTTTTTTTTTACAATTTTCATGATGTTAGGATTTAATCTTCGTTGTGGTTCTCTACTAGTTCTAGCCCCCTTATATCATGTATACTATGCATGTATACACTCATGTCAATGCCCCTTAGATCATCCATTTTCCAGCCCATAAACTTCTTATTTTTTCGAAGTACATCTAATAATTCTTCTTCCTATTCATCACTCAAATCAGCTACAGTAATAATAGAAAATAAATTATTTTCTTCCAAGAACATATATTTTAAACTAGAGGGAAGAAGTTTCAACTCTAAATTCAGATGATCTCTCTTTCTTTTCTTCTAAATTTATATTCTTTATTTTCTCTAATTCTTCCAGCACACAGTCATCAATAACATTTGGATCATCAAAATCATTTAGAAGATCTATATGACAATCATATACTTGGGATTTCTTAAGATCATTTGATACCTCAAAAATTTTAATTTCTACTGATTGATCTCCACATGAAATTTTTGCAATACTCGTGAGAAAATCAATATTCATCTTTGCTGTATACAAAAACGGTATCCCTAGGATGATTCGTGTATCATAAAATTGTCCATTAAAATCTATTTCCAGCACTACAAAATCAGTTGGAAATTTACACCCTTTAATTGTTACTATCATATTTTCTAAAATACTCTTAGGATGTTTTATGGATCTATTAGCAAATTCTAAGGTAACAGTAGAAGGTTTAAGATCAAAAATATTAAATTTATCACAAATACTTACAGGTAATAAATTAATATTAGCACCAATGTCAAGTAATGTATTCTGAAAAATGAATCTACCAATATCACATGAAATTAAAGGGGCACCTGTATCTCTCAATTTATATGGTAATTGATTTAATAATAATGCATTAGCATGCATAGATAATTTTTCTACTCTATGTGCCCTTTTTGGTGTACACATTTCTTTCAAAACTCTAGTATATTTAGGAATATGTTCAATGGCAGTAAGTAAAGGAAGACTAATTTGCACATCTTATAAAATTTTCTTTATTTCTTCATTGTGTTTCTTTTTCTTTTTTTTGTCTAGGCTCTAGAGCTTTAGGAAATGGAATGATTGTCCTCTCTTTTGAAATTTCCTTGATAGAATCTATAAAATCCTCTTCTACTCCTATTTGATTTTGTTTTGGTTTGTTCACGTTTTCTTTTTCTTCTAATGTTTGGGGATAAGGATCAAGTAAGATCTTACCACTCCTTAATGCATTCACTGTCCTAACATTTTCATTTCGTAGGTTTTTTCCTAGATTCATACTACTAGACTCCCCTTGCTGAAATTCTATTGTTGGGCAGTTCCCTGGATTTTCTCTAAGTTGACTAAGTAGCTGTCCCTCTTCTCTCTTATTCTCAAGAGCCTCTATAATTTATTTCTGATGCAGCATCATTTGATTCATAGCTTTTTACATCATTTGGCTCATTTGCTAGATCATTTCCATAGCATCAGGTTGGATTTGAGAGGGCTAATTTTTATAAAATTTGTTTTCTTGTTTTGGATGAAATTCAAAGTTTGAATTAGGTCTAAGTGCTTCTAGATTTTGAATATTATTTGGGTCTCTCTATGAAAAATTATTCCTCCAATTAGGATTATAAGAATTTTTAAAAGGTTCCCTATTTCTATTAAAACTGTGAGCTACTTGCACTTGTTCTTGCATAGGGTGAAATGATTGATCTAAATTATAACATTGAAATTTAGAATAATCATTTTCACCATACATAGGACATGTACTATTCGAATTAAATTGAGGGTTAAAAGGCTTTCTAATATTGTCAATAAGTAAATCAATTTTTTCTAATCTTTGATTAATCTGATTAACCTCATTTCTATCTTTAAAATCATCATCATGATGTAATTCATAAATTCCTCTCTTCTTATCCCTGTCATATAATTCAAAAGAGGCTTGATCTCTAGAATTTTCACTTATTCTCATAAAGATTGTAAATCTCATCAGGAATTTTCTCCATAAAAGCTCCTCCACATATAGAATCAACTATATTTTTATGTTGTTCTAATAATCCATCATAAAAAAATTTATTGAGCTGCCACTTGGGTATAGCATGATGAAAATATTTTCTAAATAAATCTTTAAATTTTTCCCATGTCTCATGCAAAGTTTCTCCTGGTCTTTGAGAAAAATTTCATATATATTTTCTCATATTTTGAGTTTTTCCTAAAAGATAAAATTTTCAAAGAAAGGCGTGTTCTATATCTTTCCAGCTAGTTAATTCTCTATCAAATGTGGATAGCCAATGACTAGCTTTGTCCCTAAGTGTATGAGGAAATAATTTTATCACTGGTGATTTGTAGGAAAGTCACGATAATCAGATAAAAATATATGAATTTTGACTCTAGAAGGACTTGAACCCTCACCGGTCGCTTGCCTCTTCTGAGGAAGGTGTGACATGGGTTTAGTCTCACATCGGTTGTGTGCAGATTTTTCAGGCAAATATATAGTAATGTTAGCTTTCTAAGCAAAGTCCCTTCTCTCACATGTATGACCACTCCTTGCCCCACAGCCGGCTGGCCACTGGTGACGTGGAAGGGGAGTGGCGCACATATGCCCCTATCGATCCAAGCCAAGCCGCTCGAGCCCCTGCTCGCGGCTACTCCCCAACTATGCTTCCGACCCCCTTGCGGGCCTAGCTGGTCGGTGAGTCCCCTCATTTTGCAATATTTTTATTTTTTTTCTTATTCTTTATTTATCTCAAAAGTAAGATTGTAAAAATCGTATAAAATCACATAATTATCCAAAAATTCACGTTAATCAATTAAAAACCACTTTTCACATTTTAACACAAATATAAGTCTATTTATCATGAGTTAAGACTAAAACTATATTATTTAATAATTATTAACTCATGATAATAAAGACTTATCAGTTATTAATAACAAACATTACTTCATAATAGTTTTTTTACTTCGTAGCAAACCACGACTGGAAGTTTACGCTTAAAGCATATAACCTTCTATTTGTCAATCTAGGTTACCTTACATTAGGCGCCTAACACTTATTATACAGGGGGTTAGACCCCTCCATTCCTAGATTAAGTGAACTCAAAATCAATAATTTAAGGCCTCCGTTCTTGATATCACACGAGACATCACACCCCTATTTGGCATCCACGTCACATTGCGCCATGCCTGAGCTACTCATCAATTCTGAGATTCCACCCACAGGATCTTGCCTCGCCATTCTAGGCTTGTGACCAAAATCACTAGTGCATTTCTTTTCTACCTCAACTTTGATCTTTAATCTATCGCAAGTTCAAAAAGTTATATCAAATTATTTAAAGAAAGATAAGTTGGGACTTGAGATCTACTCGAATAACAAGAGAAGTAACTCATTACAACATTTTGATAATGTGGTTAGTCCATTAGATATCCTTTATAATACTAGTTGATTACTTACTGATAATATTGCACGTTTTCCAACAATATCGAAGCATGCAAATATATCACATATCATCACTTGCATTACTTTGCTTGGATACTACGATCATATTTAATAGAAATTTACTACTGAGTTCTTTTACACTGTTATATGCGTCGGACATCAGAGATAACCACAATATTTGCATGTTATATCAGAAGTTTAACTCCCTCTATCCTTCTCTCTCTCACTCTCAGCCCCCTCTCCTCTCCTTTTTTGCCTCTCTCCCACTAGATATTACACTCAGACTCCCCCCATCTCTCTCCTCTACCTCTTTCCTTATCTCCCATTGGACGCTCGATTCAGACTCTGCCCTCCATCATGCTCTCTCTCCCTCTCTCCCTCCCTCTTTCTCTCTCTCTCCTCACTCTCTCTACCTCCCCCTCTTCCTCTTTTCTCCTCCCTTTCTCCCTCTGCCCCTCTGGTGTTCTATTCAAACTTTTTCTCTCTCTCTCCATCTAGCCTTCCAATCAGATTCTGCCCCTTCTATCTTTTCTACTCCCTCTCTCCCCCTCTCCCTCTTTGATTCTTTTCCTTCCTCTCCCTCTCTTGCTCTAGGTTTCTAGTCAGATTCTCCTATCTCTCACTTTCTTTCTCTTGCCTCCTTCCACCTCTCTCTCTCTCTCTACTATATATCTCCTTGCCTCTCACTGGTTTGCTTTTATGGAATTTGTTGCGTTGAAGTCTCCTTGATGTTGCTGACCTACAATGAACTTCATGAGAACCATAGTTTTATGTAGTTAAAAGCTATCAGTCTAGACCAATCAAACTATTCAGGAAAATACTTATTTCCACTAATGGAATATTGACCTCGTGATGTCCACGACAAGAAGGATAGGGAATAATAATCAACCCACAGCAAAATATTAATACGAGAAATTTAACACAATTCTAAAGCTGGCTCTTAAATAAATAGGGGACCAAGACAGAGGCTTCACTAGGTGTAGATAAATTGACAAAGGAACAATCACCAAAAACTCGAGGAATAGATCCTCTCTTGCACTTATTGCATGGTTGGTCGGAGTCTGTATTGACGTAATTGAACCAGACAAAGATCCTAAAATGCGTTATTTCTTATATCTATAACTGGGCCAAGATCATGAAAACATCATTTGATAGAGACAAGTATATAACTAGTACCAAAATTTTCTAGTTTTTGGCAGAAGGTGTGTCTTCAACTACACATCTGCATCCGGCTTCAACTGAATTCTCTGAGTCTACATTGGCAGAAAACCAAGACACATTATTATTCTAGATGAATGCAAGTTTATGCAAGTATATACTTTAATTTTGATCATGCCTATCTTCTGTAAATTAGATCATACATATAAGAAGTCCACAATGAAAACAAATCATTTCATCATATCTTATTGTTCTTTTCGAACGTAGTCGAAGCTCGAAAGACGTCCTCGAGGGCTATAGTAACATCTGCCCAATTGAAAGAGTGTGCAGCTGAAAACAATGCACTCAACCACCCCAAGGATTTGCTTTCATATCATGCCCAGATGACATCCTTGTTCCTCAGTGGGGCACTTGATTTCAGTTCTTGAAGTAAATGATTTCAAACGTCTATCAATAGGAACCATGTAGAGTTTCACAACGTAACTTTACCAATGTAATGTGTGTCTATTTTTATGGCAAACTACTAGTGAATCACAGTTCTTTCGGAAACTGTCTAGCCCAAGTTACCCTCGTTAATCCAGCTGAATAACTTCAGCAACACTAGTCCATATAGAAGTGGATTGATAAGTCTTCATTATCATGAGTTAATAATTATTAAATAATATTGTTTTAGCCTTAACTCGTGATAAATAGACTTATATTTGTGTTAAAGTGTGAAAAATGGTTTTCAATTGATTAATGTGAATTTTTGGGTAATTATGTGATTTTATATGATTTTTATAGTCTTACTTTTGAGATAAATGAAGAACAAGAAATAAAAAATAAAAATATTGCAAAATGGGGGGACCCGGCAGCAAGCTGGGCCTGCAAGCGGGCCGAAAGCGTAGTCGGGGAGTAGCCGCAAGTAGGGGCTCAAGCAGCTTGGCTTGAACTGATAGGGGCACGTGTGCGCCGCTCCCCTTCCACGTCACCGGTGGCCAACCGACTATGGGGCAAGGAGTGGTCGTACACGCGAGAGAAGAGACTTTGCTTAGAAAGCTAACATTACTATATATTCGCCCGAAAAATCGACGCACAACTGATGTGGGAGTAAACTCACACCTTCCTCAGAAGAGGCGGGCAACTGGTGCGGGTTCGAATCCTCTCAGAGTCAAAATTCATATATTTTTATCTGATTATCGTGACTTTCCTACACATCGCCGGTAGAGGATTAAGCAACGAGAATCGCTTGATCATCGGCAAAAATCTCGTCAACGCGATTTGCAGAGCATTGTTACTAAAATTGCTGAACGATTTGTAATAAAATGATCGTAAATCCATCGAGTAAATCATGTCCGATTGATCGACAAATAAGCCGTCATCAAGAAGAGGACGATCCACCAGGAGACGAGTCACCACCTCCTGAGAGTGTACCAGATGCAATGAAGAGCCACCTCTCACTGCACGGACCTGAGGATGAAGCTCCTTGACATGCGCCCCACCTCCATCTAGCTCCTCTCTATCGGGTGACATCTGCCGGAGAGCCACAAAGTCACCATTTTTCCGCTTCGCCGAGTGATAGCCGTCGAAGAGCCGCAAAGTCACTATTTTTCTGCTCCGCCGGGTGACAGCCACCAGAGACGACTCGACGACCTATTTCATTAATCTCTAGACTTCGCGAGATTACCCACATCGTCTTTGTCTAAGGAGAGCCTTCGAGACCGTGGACACTACACGACGATCCTCCTGAACGTTCAGAATTCTAGTGCATCATCGATGTATCACCATTTCGACGTTGGAATTCTATTTTCCTACTTTCAATTTACTTTACACTTCATTTAGTGATAATTTTTATATTTTTAAGTTACCAAAATATACTTTGTTCAATTATGATTCTTCTGGCTTTTACAGATCTTAATTTGATTAATTAAATCATCTGTAATCGCTTACGTGAGAATTGCCAAGTGGAACTCTATTTCTGCCCGATTTGCATTCGCCGGGCGCAGACATCATCCTGACATCCACACCCTTATTTCCCTTTTTTTTGTAAATTTAAAATATATATATCCTTTTTATTTCCTAGTATAAAATTCATATAAAATTGTATTCATTGAGAAAAATTCTGAATAATTACAAGATATTATATTACATCCCTATGGTTGACTTGGAAAATTACCACTATTTTTGAAAGTTTTATTGAATTATAATGATATATTTATTTAGAAATACTTCTAAATATCCAAAAATTCATATTTTCTAGTTTTATAAATTTTAGATTTGCGTGATTTAATATACAACAACTAAGTCACATCAAAGTTGGTGCCGTTGTTAGGGATGTATTGCATAATATTTAGTATTTTTCTGTTTTTCTCTTAGAGAGTACACAAAAAAAATTAACTCTTGTTTTATTTTCTTTTTGCTGATTTTTTTTAGAAAAAAGGAACGAAAAGAAGCAAGGCAAGGACTGGAGCATCCTGAAGGAGGGTAACAATTACTAATTTTGTTTCTCAAATTTATTGATTTTTATGCATGGTAGAAGATCCTTGCATCCAAGGCTAGAAAATCCTTTCATTATTTTATTTAAAAATAAAAATCTGAAAGAAAAATTAATTTTGATGGATCCTAAAGGAAGTACAAGTCAAATTGAGAATAATCCTATGGCCATGAAAAATCATTATATCCCTAATTCATTTCAAAGAGCATCAAATATTAGAGTCCCATTAGCACTTAGAGTTAAATTCGAAATAAATCTAGGAATTTTTCAAATGCTCCCTAATTTTCATGAATTGCGTTTAGAGGAACCTCATTAGCACTTAGAAAAATTTCATATAGTCTGTGATTTAGTTAATCTAACTCAAGTTACACCAGAAATTATAAAGATGAAATTATTTCCTCATACACTTAGGGACAAAGCTAGTCATTGGCTATCCACATTGGATAGAGAATTAACTAGTTGGAAAGATATAAAACAGGTCTTTCTTTGAAAATTTTATCCCTTAGGAAAAACTCAAAATATGAGAAAACATATATGGAGTTTTTCTCAAAGACCAAGAGAAACTTTGCATGAGACATGGGAAAAATTCAAAGATTTACTTAGAAAGTGTCCTCACCATGCTATACCCAAGTGGCAGCTCAATATAATTTTTTATGATAGATTATTAGAACAACATAGAAATATGGTTGATTCTATATGTGGAGGAGTTTTTATGGAGAAAACTCTTGGTGAGATTTACAATCTTTATGAGAATTTAAGTGAAAATTCTAGAGATCAAGCCTCTTTTAAATTATATAATAGGGATAAGAAGAGAGGAATTTATGAATTGCATCATGATGATGATTCTAAACTTAGAAATGAGGTTAATCAAATTAATCAAAGATTAGAAAAAATTGATTTACTTATTGACAATATTAGAAAACTTTTTAATCCTCAACTTAATTCGAATAGTACATGTCCTATGTATGGTGAAAATGATTATTTTGAATTTCAATGTTATAATTTAGAACAATCATTTCACCCTATGTAAGAACAAGTACAAGTAGTTCACAGTTTTAATAGAAATAGGGAACTTTTTTCAAATTCTTATAATCCTAATTGGAGGAATAATTTTTCATGAAGAGACCCAAATAATATTCAAAATCTAGAAGCACTTAGACCTAATTCAAACTTTGAATTTCGTCCAAAACAAAAAAACAGATTTCAGAAAAATCAGCTCTCTCAAACCCAACTTGATACTATGGAAATGATGCAGCAAATGAGCCAATGATGCAACAAACTATGAATCAAATGATGCAGCATCATAAACAAATTATAGAGGCCCTTGGAAATAAGAGAAAAGAGGGACAGTTACTTAGTCAGCCCATAGAAAACTTAGGGAACCACCCAATAATAAGATTTCAACAAGGGGAGTATAGTAACATGAATCTTGGAAAGAACCTACGAAATGAAAATGTTAAGACAGTGAATGCATTAAGGAGTGGTAAGATCTTACCTGATCTTTATCCCCAAACATTAGAAGAAAAAGAAAACGTGGACAACCCAAAACAAAATCAAATACGAGTAGAAGAGGATTTTATAGATTCTACCAAGAAAATTTTGAAAGAGAGGACAACCATTCCATTTCCTAAAGCTCTAGAGCCTAGACAAAGAAAGAAAAAGGAACACAATAAAGAAATAAAGAAAATTTTACAAGATGTGCAAATTAGTCTTCCTTTACTCACTACTATTGAACATATTCCTGAATATGCTAAAGTTTTGACAAAAATGTATACACCAAAAAGGGCACCTAGAGTAGAAAAATTATCTATGCATGTTAGTGCATTATTATTAAATCAATTACCATATAAATTGAGAGATACAGGTGCCCCTTTAATTTCGTATGATATTGGTAGATTCATTTTTCAGAATGCATTACTTGACACCGGTGCTAGTATTAATTTATTACCTGCAAGTATTTGTGATAAATTTAATATTTTTGATCTTAAACCTTCTACTGTTACCTTACAATTTACTAATAGATCCATAAAACATCCTAAAGGTATTTTAGAAAATGTGATAGTAACCGTTAAAAGGTGTAAATTTTCAATTGATTTTGTAGTGCTGGAAATGAATTTTAATGGACAGTTTTATGATACACCAATCATCTTAGGGAGACAATTTTTGCATATAGTAAAGATGAATATTGATTTTCCTACAGGTATTGCGAAAATTTCATGTGGAGATCAATCAGTAGAAATTAAAATTTTTGAGGTACCAAATGATCTTAAGAAATCCCAAGTATATGATTGTCATACCATAGATCTTCTAGATGATTTTGATGATCTAGATGTTATTGATGACTGTGTGTTGGAAGAATTAGATGAAATAGAGAATATAAATACAGAAGAAAAGAAAGAGGAAGATCATCTGAATTTAGAGTTGAAACCTCTTCCCTCTAGTTTAAAATATATATTTTTAGAGGAAAATAATTCATTTCCTGTTATTAGTGCAGCTGATTTGAGTGATGAACAAGAAGAAGAATTATTAGATGTACTTCGAAAAAGTAAGAAGGCTATGGGCTGGAAAATGTACAATCTAAGGGGTATTGATATGAGTGTATGTATGCATAGTATATATCTAGAGGAGGGGCTAGAACTAGTAGGGAACCACAACGAAGATTAAAACCTAACATGATGGAAATTGTAAAAAAGGAAATTTTAAAGTGGTTGACTGTTGATATTATTTATCCTATTTCAAATAGCAAATGGGTTAGTACTACACAAGTAGTGCCAAAAAAATCAGGGATCACGGTTATAAAAAGTGAAAATGGGGATGAAATACAAACAAGATTAACTACTAGTTGGAGGGTTTGCATTGATTATAGAAAATTAAATTCAGTTACTAGAAAAGATCATTTTCTCCTACCATTTACTAATCAAGTTCTAGAAAAATTAGCTAGAAAAAACTTTTTTTGTTTCTTGGATGGATACTTTGGTTATAATCAAATTTATATAAACCCTTTAGATCAAGAAAAAACAACTTTCTCTTGTCCATTTGATACTTTTGCTTTTAAATGTATGCCTTTTGGTCTGTGTAATGCTCCAGCCACATTTCAAAGATGTATGCTGTCTATTTTTTATGATATGATTGGAAAATGTATGGAAATTTTTATGGATGATTTTTCTGTTTTTGGTGAATCGTTTGATGAATGCTTAAATCATTTACAGCATGTACTTGAGAAATGCACAGAGAAAAAATTATTTTGAGTTGGGAGAAATCACATTTTATGGTTAAAGAGGGAGTTGTGTTGGGTCATATTGTGAGTGAAAGGGGTTTAGAGGTGGATAGAGTAAAAATTGATATTATATCTAAAATGAAACCTCTAAATTCAGTAAAATAGGTTAGATCTTTCTTAGGTCATGCGAGTTATTACAGAAAATTTATTCAAGATTTTTCAAAAATTCCTAAACCTCTCACCATGCTATTATCTAAAGATATGGCTTTTAATTTTGATGAGAAATGTTTTGAGTCTTTTTCCAAAATAAAAAGATTACTTACTAAGGCACCCATTTTATAAGCTCCTGATTAGTCCCTTCCCTTTGAAATAATGTGTGATGCATCGAATTATGTAGTGGGAGCTGTTATAGGATAAATAAAAGAGTCAAAACCCATAGTAATTTTATATGTTAATAAAACTATATCTGATGCTCAATTAAATTATACCACGATTGAAAAAGAGTTGTTAGCTGTAATACTTTTGTTAGAAAGGTTTAGATCATATATTTTAGGAGCTAAAATTATTATTTATACTGATCATGCAGCATTAAAATATCTGTTAAATAAGAAAGATGTAAAGCCACATTTATTAAGATGGATTTTATTGTTGCAGGAATTTGACTTAGAAATAAAAGATAAAAAAGGTTCCGAGAATGTTGTTGCTGACCATCTTTCTAGATTAAGTGATACAGGAATAAATGCAGCACCTTTACAAGATGCATTTCTAGATGAACAACTGATGGCAGCTCAACATCAACCATCACCATGGTATGCACATATTGTTAATTTTCTAGTTTTTAGAAAAACTCCAGAACAGTGGGATAAGAATAGAAAACATCATTTCTTTTCTAAGATTAGAAATTATTTTTGGCATGATCTTGATTTATATTACTTGGGCAATGATCAAATTTTAAGGAGATGTGTTCCTGAAAAAGAATACCATAACATTATTAACATGTGCCATTCATCTAACTATGGAGGATATTTCTCTAGACAAAAAACAGCTGCAAAAATTTTTCAGTGTGGTTTTTATTGGCCTACAATCATTAGAGATTTTATAGAATTTAGTAGAACATGTATTTCATGCCAATCTATAGGTAACATGAGTAAAAAAGATGAAATGCCCATGAGTAACATGTTAGTAGTCAAAATTTTTGATGTATAGGGAATAGATTTCATATGTCCCTTCCCATCAACTGAAAAATATGAATATACTTTGCTTGCTGTTGATTATGTGTCGAAGTGGGTGGAAGCTATTCCTACTAGAACTAATGATCATAAAATCGTGATGAAATTTGTATAGGAAACTATTTTTTCAAGATTTGGATGTCCTAGAATCATTATTAGTGATGGAGGAACACATTTTACAAATAAACATTTCAGGGAACTGTTGAAAAAAATGGAGTACACCATAAAGTAGCCACTCCATATCATCTCCAAACAAATGGGCAAGCTGAAGTAGCAAATAAGAAAATTCAGAGAATTTTGAAAAAAATTCTGAATAATTACCAGATATTATATTACATCCCTGTGATTGACCTAGAAAATTACCACTATTTTTGGAAGTTTTATTGAATTATAATTGATATATTTATTTAGAAATACTTCTAAATATCTAAAAATTCGTATTTTCTAGTTTTATAAATTTTAGATTTGCGTGATTTAATATACAATGACTAAGTCATGTCATGGATCATTCGGTAGGTGATTGGGGCGATCTGGTAGGGGGGAGTCGATTACCCCACCAATAGTGGCGGAAGCGGTGCTTTCAAAAATACAAACCAATCTATCTACATCTTGCAATTCTAAGATGAGATCTACGACTTGGTTTTCGCAATCAGTAACCCACCGGTCTAGACCCTCGATGGGCCCCTCTCCAAAATCTAAATTCCACATCACACTGATTCTCCGTCTAACCAGACAAAGAATCTATCAGGGAACCTCATCAATATGTTATTTTACTACCAAAGTAATTACAAGAACCCTCTCAGAAATTGTACTTACTCAAACCAAGAAAAATAAATTTGCACGCAAGTTTTACGCATTGAGTTTCCTCCATGTAAATGGTATTAGATATGTCATTTTGTTCAGAAAACAAAGAACTATAATAGTGAATATCAATCAAATCAAAAGGATCCTTGGGAAGGTAGAGAGATTCATTGATACTTCTGATTTCAAAGTAATGCAATAGTTGATAGTATCAGACAAGGGAATGTTGAATCGGCAATAAACACCACTATATTACATCAATAATATATGAATTCAGCACAAGTGAGGAGAAAATTCTGAACAATAAAACAATTTAATTGGCCTTCAAGGAATAGAAATGGAGAAAGCTGAAACTGATATGTATCCACATCCAAGAATATATAATTTAACATGGTGCACATCCAAGAAGAGCCAACATGCCAGGTAATGATGAATCGTCGATGATTAATAAAATAAAGAATTAGAAAAGCTGTTGTAAACGGATTTTTTGTTAGTCTATTGGTTTCACAAAAAGGAAAGGAGATTTCTTGAAGAAACTGTGAAATCTGAAGCACAACAACTTGGAGTGGTATTTTTTTCAAATAAAAAGTTGTCTTTCATAACGTATATAGTCTCCATGTTGAACCTTTTGTAATGGGGAGACTGAAAATAATTCCAAGTTACGAAGTCGAAATAGATATGAGAGAGAAGAGGAGCAGTCAATATTCAGAAACTCGCCACCATTATGCACGAGTTCCAAGTTCCAAGTTTCGACTTCTTCTGTTTGCACGAGTTTCTCTCGCAACCATTATGCATCAGAATATTCAGAAACTCGTGCAAACAGAAGAAGTCGAAATAGATATAAGAGAGAAGACTTTTAGAATATTCAGAAAGAATGCGCCGGAGTCGTTCCTCGGAATTTAATGACTAATATTCCGACGCGGTATAATGCACCAATCCGCTGAGCCTTGAGTTTGTTTAAACGAAGTAAAATTCAACTATACTGTACAGCTTGCCTTCGGATGGAGACTAATTGGCTGCGGAGCTATTTTTTCAAAACTTGAGGAAAGCAATGTGTTGACTAATTCCCGTCCAGTCTCGCTGCAAACTATTCTCGAGGTTATTCGGCATTTTGAGAAGCACATCCACACAGAGTTAAATGACGGAAAAAAAAAACTTATTGACCCCGGTTTAACTGACATTAATACCTTGTTTCCAACAAATTTATTGGTGTGTTTTATTCGTATTGCTTCATGCACTGGATATTAGTCAGAGCATAAAGTTGAACCTCCAGTTCGATTGCCTTTCTTATCTCTATTGGTAATGTTTAGACTCATGTCATTATCCCTGCTCCCGATCCTCATAGCTCTCTCTCTCTCTCTCTCTCTCTCTCTCTCTCTCTCTCTCTCTCTCTCTCTCTCTCTCTCTCTCTCTCTCTCTCTCTCTCTCTCTCTCTCTCTCTCTCTCTCTCTCTCTCTCTCTCTCTCTCTCTCTCTCTCTCTCTCGCTCCCTCCCTGCCTCCCCAGCTCTTTCTGATCACTATTGGTCATACTTAGACTCATGACAAAGATTAAGTTGATTCCATCGACATTTCTTCGTCAACGCTGTCCCTTTACTACTTTCGTACGCTTGCCTTTCCCTATCTGTCCGTCTGTCTCTGTCCATGTAGGGTTTTAATCTCCCTTTCGCTCTCCACTGTCGTCAAATCACTCGCTATTCCTCCCACTCATATTCCTTTCGAAAATTTTTACCAATCGCTCGCACAATATTTGTTATTGACTGCTCCTCTTTGCCCATTAAACTCGAGGAAACCCCGTCCGATACTGTCTAGAAGGCACGAGATAGTGGAGTCGTTCAGAATCTATAAAGAAACGGCACCTAGTCGGCGCTTATTTTAACCGAGAACTACACGATAACACGAGAATATATCACACCGACCAGAGCGGCAGCGTGCTCTAAACAGTTCAGGTTTCATCCAGGTGGCCGTCCGCGGCCGTCGATGGGACGCCTCCTTTTATTTCTTTGATACATCAGACACTTCCTCTTATTTGACTTGGGAACGGTGAGGAAGGTTGAAGAACCGCATCCCGACGCCTAGCAGCACTTAAGGCAGAAGCCGCCAACACTATTGCAGCATTTCCTGCAACACGGCTTCGTACTAATAATCGGACGGTGACAACAAACAAGGCACCTCCCGGCATAGAAACGGCAGCAACGAAGACAGCAGTAGTACACGGATGAGGTTGCAAGGGGCTGTGAGTTCCCCTCCACCGCTACGCTGAGGGCACCTGAAAAAAGGTTCATTAAAAAGAAGCTTGCGTGCGTTTAACAGTACGAGCTCCGCCCATTTCCACCGCAAAACAGATTAACTGGAAGGAGACTCAAAGTAAAGCGCACTAAACCGCTCTCACCTGGGGGCGCAGGTGGCTCGCCGGCGTCTGCGACGGTCGACAAGAGGACCAGTCCAGAGACGAGGATGGTGAGGATCACTGCCAGACGGGTTGGAGCCATCTTTCTTTCCGTCCCTCCTCTTGAATTCCCAGATACCCCAGTCGTGGATGGCGGACAAGAGACGCGGGAAGACTGGTGCTTCGAGTTTCCTTCGTGCCCGTTATTTATAGGGAACACCCGGAGCGACATTTTGATCAGACAATGTCGTTCACTGCTGCGATTCGTGGAACAAAACAGCGTTCACGGATAAGGTCTGACTTGGGTTTGGAAGAAGGTGGGCCTCCACTTCTCCACCGTACGCCACCAAATCCAATGGGCCTGGAGATACATTTTCAAAACCATATTAAGGCAATGGATTTCGATGTAATTCGCCAGAGGACCAATGCAGCTCTGACTTTTGGAAAATACCTTGGCATATACTCATATTACTGGTATATCATTGGTATTCGTTTGAAAATAGGATTACCTCACCGCATGAAATCGTCCTTTGCTTCAGATGATGAGTTACACAGCGTTCATATTTTAGTCTTAAATAATCCTTTCAGCATGTCGGATAAGAGGATGACGGGGTTTACTAGTTGAGCATGTTTATTTAGATACCTTTTCTTAAGAGAACGATCCATTCCAGTTAATTTAACGCGAGAAATTTGATGGCAATATCTATCACTTCCATTTGTACTTTCCTTTGACCTTTCAAAGAGTATGTTTCGAGGAAACTACTCACATGAAACAATTATATTTTGCGTAACTGTCTAAAATGGTTCCAAACAACGGATGCAGACAACTTCACATTGGGCAAAGTCAATATCACGCTCAATGGATATAGAGTTTTTTCTATCAAATGGATAATCTTCATGGTGAAGCATCTAGGTGGAGAAATTCGTACTTCATTTCATGCACGAAATTTCATTTAACTTCTTTATCCGAAAAGCTCTTCGAGCGATCTCTCATGAGATATCGCTCGCTCACGCTGTCTCCGGCTATCTGAGGCACACTCTCTCCCGCTATCCAATATTACATTATTTTATATCTATTCAGGGACTGCATCTATCCGAGTTTTGAATGTAACTCTCAGAATAATGCAGCAAATTGTAGATAATCTCTATTCGATGCGTAATTGTCTGAAAAACCGGATCTCCTTCCCTCCAAGGATAATAATATGTATGAGTTGCATGCAAGATAAAAAAATTCACCATTTCGAAGGACAATTTTGTTAATCTCCCATGTCAGACTTCTAATATAGTGTCGCTTTGTATAGGGTTAACTATTAATATTTTGGTATCCATATCTAGCAATGGCCACTACTTTGTCTGAGTATGGCCTTTTTCTGCCCTCTCTTGTCCGCCTGTTGAAAAAACCAATATAGACTAAATGAGACTGAGACAACTTCATGCATAGATTCAGATCGCTCACTTTCCTTTCTCCAAATTCGTCAATATCTACTCTTGACCACATATTTTTTTATCTTATCCAAAATTTCAGGAAAAAACAAAACTAGTAAAGATTTCTTTGCTGCCCTTTTCCAGCAGCGACTAACGCAGAAGAGATCGAATACTTCTTTATTTCTGCCCGAACATAAATTTCAAGACAAATTCACTATCGATTTTTACATGGCTTGCCACCTATCCTTGCAATTAATAGGTCGATGAAACTTTAAATTTGTATGCCATTTACCCTTCTCGCACATCACAAGCTATATTGCCTGATAGACTATTAAATAGTCCGTGCCCATCAATTAATAAACGCATTGCGAATGCGGTTCTGTCCGTCGACGAGAATAGTTCACAGTTCTCAAAACTCGAGTACGGAGCATAGTAATGATAGCAAGATTGAGAAGGTTGAAAAACATATGAAGTTGCAAAAGATCAACGATAACCGTTTTCTTCTTTCTTAAACAGCTTGCTCTTCTCACTTGGGAATTCTCCTTTTTCTAAGACTCATTACTATAGCAGAGGCAATAAGCAGGGCAAGCGTGGAGAACGTCTGCTGGTGACTGTCGGATTCCGACCTCGACCCCGACCGGAGAAACCAGGTGTGGCTCCAACATGTGGCTGCATCTCTGCGGCCTTGTCCCGGGGACGCGGTAGTGTACACGGATTCTGCCTGTTGTATGTTGTATAGCAGCAGGGGTAGTTGCAATGCGCTTGTTTATTCGCCCCCACTCGGGGACATTCAAAAGCCGTACAAACTCCTCTCTCAAGTCGCGGTGGCATTGAACTCGTTGAGGATGAGGATGGCGGAGAGAGAAAACTATGGGCTTCGTGGGACCCATCAATCTCTTCTGTGGGTACCCACCGTTGCTTATGGATTTCGAGTGTCTGATCTAGAGCATCTTGAAGGTGTTCTTGTGGCAAAGGAAACATCAGGGAACCGATAGCAAGTGGAGAAGCACGTAAGAACTGGTGTAATCATTTCTGTGAGAGCACTCTTTGGCTGACCGAGGCTACCACTGGCTTTCAGAAGTTGCATCACAACGGAGGTATACCAAAAGAAGGAAGCGAGGCGTGAACAGTAAATTCCAGTTGCGTTTCAGTTGGATAACCTAGTAATTGAAGTAAATATAATTTTGTATCTTGGTAGATTTATTGGTTCATAGAATCGTTAAATTTTAGCCATTTTTCTTCCTTTTTTCGTTCTTGTTCTCACAATTGTAAATCCAGGGACTGGTAATGTTTCATATTCCGGTTTTTCAATGAAGCTTAATGACACTCTTCAGGAGGAAGTTATTGTATCGACATTAAAGAGGTATGAAGACTGTGAGCTTCATATAAGTTGAAACAATCTCCTATACCCTGGTTTGATAGAGTGAGATATGCTAAGGTTACGTTTCTTCAATCAAATAATCATTACCTGCGGAGAAAGTATTGGCAGCTCATCTATTCATGCCTCATATATGTACTGACCTACGCTAAGGTAGCAGCTCCACGCAATTTTTCACACTATAACCTTGTGTGATGTATTATATAACGCAGAGAAACAAACCAACCAAGGCACAACAAACGCTGCGAATCTGATAAGATTTTGGCTTCGTCTACTTGTAGAACTCTTTTCTTTGTTTATTCCTCTGAAAAGTATATACATTTTACGTCAAGTATGGGACATAATTTTTAAAAAACGTTTCAGTAATAAGTTTATACCACTCTGTTAAATAGTCCCAGTGGAGAGACCGATACCACATACGCGATTTTCTCCAAAGAAAGCTACATGTTGATTGAGAAAGGTTCAGCTGGTCCGGACATTGCTATCACTTTTACTTTTTGACGCAATGTTAAGCTCGATTTAACCGACGAATGTGTGATTTATGAACATAGAACCCGAGGTGTTATCAGCTTCTACAGTATGAAGCTCCGTTTCAAACCTAACTTGGTGATAACCCTCATGGTAATAGTTGGATTTCCAGCTGATTGACTTCAAGGGGACCAAGGGAAACGCTGGATTATCTCCTAGTGGGGTCAATTACTTATCCTTTCGATTGGCAGAGAATCAAATTACTTATCCTTTCGATTGGTAACATATTTAAATGTTCGACTTCCACTATGGTTATTCATATCCTTTGGATATTAAAACATACTTTAACATTTAAAAACGTCTGCAGCTCTTTAGGGGTTTTTCTTAGAAAAAATTAGTGTTTCACAGGACATTTTTGAAAGTTGACTTACTAGACAAAAAGGCTGTTGGGGCACAGCATTGCAAGTCCAAATACAGATAGCACAAGGTATTGTGATTGAGGACACCTAGATGTTGAAATGATCGTTTAAAAAAAAAAATTGTCTTACACGCGTAAAATTCAAGTATTAAACCCTCCAACATGCTAAAAAATATTTCCACTCTACGAAATCAACATTTTTGCATATTTGCCAACCATTGAAGCAGCTCCTCATTTAAAGAAGATTTCACTTCATCAGGCCCACACGTTCAAGCCAAAGGTAGCTATGTGCCGAAATATTAAGACTTCTTTTAAAAAATTCTTTTTATTTGAGTAGTTAACATACTTGGCCTAATCTCAAATCAATAATCTATAGAAAATTAGCTAAACCCCAGTGTTTGATGAATGTATCGAAATGAAATATTGGAACCTAAGGACACAGTCATTGGAAAGGACAGCAGGCCTGATAAACCGTATCATTATAATTCTTAGTTAAAAAAATAGCAGGAAACCTGAATTTAAATAAAAATCTAAAAAAACACTGATTCACTACTCTCCTAGTTCTGTCTACAATCTGGTAAAAATCAATACAGGTTTCGTGAATCTAGCTTCAAATGTTTGTCATCACCGCTATGATGTTCTACCAATAATGGGATGGGCACGTAGATATCTGGTCTGTTATCAGTACATCACTAGTTTCTTAGATCTGTCTTACTAGATAAGCATTCGTGGTATTATCTCATACTGACTGACCCTGCAGCTCTAGCCCACCAAACACTTCATGTTCCTATCAAACTTGAGTGCAACCTACTGAGAATTTCAGCATAGTACAATGACATGTAAAATACTACAATGATGTAATTCAATTTACAGGGTTGGGTACTCTTCATATAACTTGAAAGCAACGAAAATGAGATTCAACTAATGATATTCTCCAAAGCATGGGAAGGACCCAATCCGTTATAGATTGTTTTTATGGCAGCGTCTAAATTCAACTCCCTTGAAAGTGTTGATCAATAGGTTGCCTTTAATGCCTCGACTAGCATCTTGCAAGATAGGTGCGCATGATGGATGATTATTTTTTATCTCAATTATTATCTTAGAATGAAGAAAATTTATAGTTATTTTATAAAACGACATTATATTCATGTAACATTCACATATATTCATTACAAACAAACCATTAATCTTTAGAATCATTAATCTTTAGATAGGTGCGCATGCCTTTATTGTCGCACTAAATAATTTCCCATCTTGTCATGCACCTATCACACCATTTGGGAAAACCATTAATCTTAATAATCATGTCACTTCGAATTATTGGATTATTTTTATTGTTTCTTGGATCAATTTAGTTTTAAAAGATATTTCTAACAAGTATACACACTTATGATTATAAGAAATTTCAGGGTTAAAAATTTACTTCAACATTAGTTTACACTAAGCCTCTAAAATATAAAAGCTTAGTATATTATTATATACTATGGTTATAAGTAATGTATTAACATAAAAGCATCATGAAAAACATATTCAAATTTTTAGATGACAACTTGGATTCACGAGTATATGTGTAGTGGACAGTATAAAGTATAAAGAAGGTTAGGTAAAATAAAGTTAAACCACAGTGAATCTTCATCAATTTGGAAATATAACATCAAACATGTACTATGACTTAATCGTGGTAAACTCTAAGAAAATTAATGTGAAATTTATAACACCTTCCAAAAATCGTTCAACATTTTCTTGAAATCAAGAGTTCAACAGTTGACCATAATGATTCAAATACACTATTATTAATGTATGATTATTGAAGTTAGTTTACCTTTTATATTCTAATTTATTTGAATGACACTGCTCTTAAGTTAAGGTATAAGATACACAACATCTACATAACTCAAAACTAACAGCTCATAAGTAGATTAATAATTGTTTTTAATTATAAGATAAACATGATTTTATCACCTTTTGTGATGTATCAAATTACTTTATCAATTAGAAATATTAAACACTACTTTTCTCAATTAAACACAAAGATAAGGCTATTTATCATGAGTTAATAAATAAAATATATTATTAAATAAATTATTATATCATGATAATTAATACTTATTAGGTATCAAGCTTTTTAGCCAACATTATTTATTATTTGCAAGTACTAATTATTAAAAAAATATTTGATAAATTTAAATTTTTGAAAAATAATTTAAAATAAAAAATATATCTAAAAAGGAAAAAGACTGCAACAACATCATGATGAGATAAAAGGGACAAATATTTCTGTCATAAAAAAAAGTTGAGATTTTTTCAAGGGAAAGGCACAAGGACAGAAGAATTGGGCTGACCATCCCAGTTGATGACAAAAATCTCCTACGAGGTCATTGGTGCATCTTAACATATTCAAGCATGCCCAGTACTTCACAGTACCAGGAATCACCAAAGATAGTAAGGTCAGTATGTATGACATGGTGGACGTGAGCTGAGCAGCAGCAGCTTGATTATAATGACTGAACTGATAGGACAGGGGATGCACCGATAACCACTCATGTTTGTAAAACGAAATTAAGGTAAAGGGAATGTAATAAAATAAATTAAGCATATGATGCATGGTACTATACAACGAACACAAACTGAAGCATTTTTCCACCTTATTAATCACATTACACTGTCCAAAACTTAGCTGGCATTGCTTCTGATTACCACTCTCATGGTATTAAGCTGTAGTATCCAGAAAAAATATCATCAATATTCATCCCACATTCCTAGAAGCCACAGAAGTGAATGTCCTCACAATTGGTGGTGGAAGCACCTTAAGTGGGCCATTTCCTTGAGAAATAGTTCACCCTTTTATTGGCCATTTCGATCCATGAAGATTGGTCCACCAATTAACTGTTTTTCTCTAAAGCATGTCTCTTCATTAAATGGGGCAGCCTTAAACGGCAAACCACATTTAACAGTCTATGAGAAATTAAAAGCTTATTTTGATAAATACATTAATTTTCTTAGATGCTAAGTAATTTTCTCTTGATCTCAATTCATTTATATGACATTGTTATGTCTTCTACCCCAAATATACCAATACCTTAGTCTTCTAATCTATGCCATAAAATATATTTAGACAAAAAAAAAATATTACTGAGAATGTTTTTGAGGGATGCTTAACCTATCTCCATTGCAGTTTGTAATACTTATAGGGTCCTATCTTTTCGGTTGATTGCAAATTATGCAGATAACCAAAGTGATCGATTTTCTCCATGCAGTGACGGGAACCTAATGAAAATACCTTTTGTAAAAGGTTCAAAAACTGTCCAGCCAACGTACGTAAATGGTGCAAGCGGGTTCTGTTTATCCTGTTTTACAATGCATTGGAGTCGTACAACGAGCACGGACTGATCGCATTGTATGATTCGGCAC